TCTGCAGGTAAAACCAACTGAACCGCCGAAGAAGAAAGCTCGCACGAAGACAGTGTCAAAGAAATCAACGACTCTTGCGAGGAAGTCTTCGGCGTCGGAAAGCGAGACTTCTGATGACTCCGACCTTGAAATTCAATTTCCCGAAGAGCCGTCCCCCATACCACCGGTGCGACCCAGTGAACCTGAGGCTGCTGTGGAATACGATACTCTTCAAGCCGTCTGGTCGCCGCGCAATCGCAGACCCAATGCTGATAAGGTCAAAAATGCTTTAGTTGCATTTAAAGACGTTGTCAAACGTGTGAGGGATGCGTGGAAAGAAAGCAGTCAAGCGATGAAGATGGCAGAGAACAAAGATGAGAACGACAAAGCAGCCCAGCTCAAGAAGGATGTTGTCCTGCAACGTCGTCTGATGGATGTGGTTGTCAGTACCACTCTTGAAAAAGGCCACCCGGCTATCGTTGAGAAGTATGTCCTTTATCTTTTCCTTCTCTTGCTCTTCTGGCATTTCGTCGTTATGGCCTTAGAAGTCAGAAACGAATCGAGAAATATCTCCCCCGTAATCTATTAGCGTCGATGGTCAGGGAGCCTTCTTAGAAGATGATCTTTAGTACGAGCGATTAATCGCTCTGTGCCCGAGGACCAGAAGGTGAAATCCCTTTTGTGGTTTTCAACTGGGCCCTTAATATCAATCTTGAGGAAGCGCTGAAATGCCAACGAACTAACCTTGACCCGTCAAAGTTGGTTGGATCTGTCGCATGTACTTCGGTTTCTTTCCAAGTTTCTGGCATTATCAATTACGCATTTCCGGGTTCTGAATGGCTAACATGGGGGTTCAGGTTGGGAGAACATCCGATGGCGCTCGCTGCCATGTATTCCTTTCTTCTAGATCGACATCAGGCGTCCGACGTGGATGGGGCATTCACGGTCAATATACTTAAGGTACATCTCCCATCTTTATTTAGGCATCCGGTTCGGCATGGGGACTAAGAGCGTTTGAAACATAGTTACTCGCACGCTTTGGCACCGTGGACGAGGAGGTACTCCAGAAAACCAATATTGCCAAACTTCTACCCCGTTTCGTGAAGAAGGGAGGTCCCACTGTCAAGGAACTCTCTCAGAAGATCCTAGATAATGCTGCTGCTTCCACGAAAAGAAAACAGGAGGCGACCAAGCCCGCAGCTAAAGAAGGGTCGGCGACCAAGAGCTCTGCCTCTGAACCAGCACATGCAAATAATTCCCGCCCTGAAATTGCTGGTTCGAAGAGGCCTCGGGAGGGAGAAACCAATGGCCAGGCTGCTTCCAAGCGGATGATTGTAACATCCAATATCAAGCCTGGTGCAAAGGCGGGCAATGCTATCGCTAATGGCCTGGTCAAACGCCCACAAGAGACAGTTCAGGAGAACAAATCTGCTGCAGCTGTCTCGCGTCCGAAAGCAAACATTATTGCTCCCAAGCCTACAAGCCTCTTTGGCAGCTTGGTTTCTGCTTCCAAACGACCAGGCACGTCGAATGCGGAGCGCGCTGCCGCCGCCGCTGCAGCGAAAACAAGGTACGCAGAACGCGAAGCTCGTGTGTGTGGGACCTCACAAATGATGCTAACAATGATCAGCCCTCCGGCCGAGAAGAAAGAAACTCAGACGCCACCTCCTAGACCTACTTTCTCCTTTGGCGATATTATGGCAGATCTTAATAAGCAGAAGGACTCTGAATCAGTTGAGCCTGCTGAGGACCGACCCCCTGAGTCCGAAGAAGAACGTCAGAAGCGACTTCGCAAGGAGGCTCGGAGAAAACTGCGCGTTACGTGGAAACCTGACGAGTCTCTGACGGAAGTCCGTCTCTTCACCCACGACCCTGACGAGGAGCTAGGACCGGGTGATCGATCGCAGGGAGAAATTGGCGACATCAAAGGAGAGGGTAGTGCCCTTAAACTGCACAGAGAACTTGAAGATTTGGAAGATGACGATGATGGCGTCATTCGTGAAGAGAATTTGATGGACTATACAGAGCCTTCGGGTAAGCCGGTATTGACGCAACTTATGGGATATTTGCTAACGGAATCTAGAAATTGACAAAGGCGATATGACATCTGACGATCGCTCCAGAAACTACATCAAACGAGGTGGCACGCAAGAGCCTTCTAGTCCCGAGAAGCAGGCTCAGGATCATAGGGAAGCTACTACGCTCATGGTTTTTTACACGTCTCCTGCGGATATTCCTCCCTCGCCAAAGGAGCCGCCACAGACCGACGCTGATGAACCTATGACTGAAATGACTTCTTTTGGAGAATTGCCGGATCATATCAAGGTAACACATCCAATTCTTCCTCGTCGGCACCTTTTTGTACGGGCTTCTGATACTCATATTTATAGGTTCGACAAGAGCGATATTACTCAGCGGTCAACCCGAAACCGGCCCCTGTTGCGGCTGCGCCGCCTATTGCTCAAACCAACCAATTCGACATCTCAAACTTGCTCAAAATCATCCAGAATGCATCGCAGCAACAGTCTACTCCGCCGCCACCCCCGCCTCCTCAGCCTGCGTCACAGGCGCCCATGTCTGACCTGGAGCGGACCATCAGCATGTTCCGCCAGCAGCAGCCTTCAGTTCCACAAATTCCCCAGTTCCCAACCGTTTCTCAGGCACCTGCAACGCAGGGCCTCGATTTCCAAAAAATATTGGCTGTCATGAGTGCACAAAAACAGATGCCGCCGGCGCCTATTGTACCCCAAGTCCAGCCATCGCAACCGGCGATGGCGCCGAATCTCGCTGCCATAATCTCACAATTCGCCAACCAAAACCAGCAGGCTGGCTCATCCCAACCTTCTGGTCAATACTTCGAAGACCCGGAGCGCAAGCGTATGCGTGAGACGGATGGATCCGAAGAATCCGGTGATGATAGATTTGGCTACGCCAAGCGAAGCAAGTTTGGAGCACCAAACAAGAAACACGTAAGTATCATACCGAGACCTGATTTGCAAAAATACATCGCTGACTCTGTAACAGCCAAAGGCTGGATTAGTCCCTTGCCGATACTGGCGCGAAGGAAAGTGTCTCAAGGGCGACAACTGCACCTTCCGCCATGATCCTCTGAATTGATTCCGTTCCTTTGCCACTCTCTTTTTATGATACCCTCCGGAAAGATCTATCTCACTGACGGCGCAGGGCCTTAATTCTTGCATCAGTTTAACCCATCGTTCTGATGTCTTTTTTATTTTACTATGGTTGCACATTGACAAAATGGATGTGAGCACGGTGTTCATTCTGCGGTGGTTTTTCCCCACCTTCGCATTTGTCGGGTCAGCGTCATGTTTCTCATTTGAGCATCGCACATAGGGTCATGATATGGTCATGAGATGGAGTTTTGTGATGCATTTCTGATTCCTTTCGCGACTACTTTCTACGGGCACCACCTCATATCTCTGGGCGGGTTTTTTTCAATTGTCCCATAAACACATAAACGTGTACTGTACGATAGATTTTTCGCTCAATTTCCATGCTTCTTCTCATATTAAGTTTGCGTACTGAATAAGAAGTAGAAGTACTTCTTCCGATGGTGTACCTTGATTATTTAGTGCCAACTGAGCTCTCTGATGAGAAGTCTAGCTTTCATATAATCGAGTAAAGTCCGATGTCTCATGAGTACGCCGCATCATTAAAACATCTCCCAAATCAGCATCTGCTTATCGATAGCCTTGTCACCCACAATTCTCAGTGTTTCCACGCTTCAAAATCTTGGCCAAAAGCGATGGAAAGGTCACCAAGCTCTCGAATATCAGCCTGCAATCACTTAATAGTCGTTTGCTGTCATGCGATATACATTGGTGGACCTACAAAAGGACTCTCCGAGGATGAATGGTGAGATGAGTCGAGTGGCTATTCCAAGCGATTGGGAGTCCCATAATTCATGTCCACCTATACTACACAGTATAATCTACCTTCGCGTGCTAACCATGCCCACTATGGGTAGGCTGATTGAACCTTTCCAAAGGGGTGAAACGCCCACATTCACCGCACATGTTCAGGCTGGTCTTCGGACGTTGGCGGACGATCCGTATGGACTGCTGGTGTTTTCGGGGTAAGCCTTCCCTTTTGTTAGAGTACTAGTAGGTCATACCGGTGGATCTGTAGTAGCTGATTCTTTTCCAGAGGTCCAACAAAGAAAGACAGAACGGACATACCAGAAGGCACATCGTATCATGTGAGACTATATGATTCTTCCCAGCGCGAAGCGACATAAATTGACATCCTCCGACAGAATTTGGCCAAAGACAATGATTACTTCTCTTACTCTTCCAGGATCGATCCTGATCGAGTCATAGCCGAAACCAACGCTACAGACTCCTATCAGAATGTGCTTTTCTCTCTGGTCAGATTCAGATCGTACGTCGGAACGTATCCCATTAAAATAACTGTTGTTACGCATGAGTTCAAGCGCCAGCGGTTCATTGAGTGTCATTTTCCGGCTCTCGGGTTGAGGACGTCCTTCAGTGAGAGTGGGGGACAAACTTGGTGCTCTGGAACTGTCGTTGGGATCAATCCTCCAGAAGAAGTAACGCCCCTGGCGTCACTGATCTCAGGGGAAGAAAAGAGTGGAATCGGTTTGTGGAGACGTGATCTGTATGGTGTCGGCGAGGAGCTGGCAGCGAAGAGGGTTAAGCGAGGATGGAAGCCTGGCATGGAAGACGAAGTATTTGTTGATATGGACTTGGAGGAAGTCGTTGAGGAGCTTATTCGTTGGCATGGAGGAGTGAACGATAATGAGCTGTTTCCGAAGCTGGACCAGCTACCTTGGTATTGAGCGTATTGAGCGTCATCTGTACTTCACATGAAATGTAGATATTATGTGCATTCACTACAGATTTCCAAAGGACATTCCACATCGTTTTTGCATTAAAGAGGTATTGAAAGCCATCACAAAATGTAGGTAATCCAGCTGTGTTACTCCCTTTCCTGAACGCCATCCTGTAAGAACAATTTACTCAAATTTGGACAATAAGCGGTCATTCGGCCAGGCGATAGCTGACCAGGGTCTCCACTCGGTGGTTATTCGTACTGAAGCTTCGCAGCTGCACTTTCTCGGCATTCTTGATGTCTTTGGCATCGCTGTCGCCCCATTCTACGGGCACCTCCGAGTCTGCGTCAGCGTACACGAGGACGTTGAATGTGCAGTCTCCGTCCAGAACTGGGAGGAAAGTGACAGAGGCCGTAATTTGGCGGAAGATAGCCTGTATCTCTTCCTGGATTTCTTTCTCTGTCTTCTCGACTGCGGTCGAATCTTGCATCTCCGTGTCTCTGTTGTACAAGAGAAGGTTTCATTAGTATCGTTGGTGTTGGGCATGGGAGGAAGAGGGAGACATACCCCGGAGTGGCGTTCTCCTTATCGGCAGATTTTCGAGAAGTTTGGCTCTTGGTATGCTTTCCGAATATTTGGACCTGATAATTATCAAACTCCAATCAGCCTCTGCGCGAATCCATTCAGTGAAGAGGCTGCCTTACGTCAAACTGCCATCTTTCGACATGCTCCCCAGTCTCCTTATCTGTTATCACCACAACAAGTTTCGATATCTTGCCTCCAAGCATCCACTTATTTAACTGCGACATAATCTTCTTGATGTAGGCCTTGACCTGGTCGTCGGCGGTAACTGGACTCGATCAGCGAGCGTTGTGGGCAGCGAGGTAATGGACCAACCGAGCATATTGAGACCATATTTCTTAACACTGTATCGGTATTAGAGTCAATTATCTACCGCTATCGTGGGCTGGCATGAACTGACGTTGTAAAGTCTTCTGGTGGATATACCCCTCGTTGAAACCTAGGAGCCAAAGCGATGAGTATGCGTTGCACCCAATCCTCTACAGCACATCAACATACAGGATGGAGTTTATCGAGTATTCAAACTATATCGTGTCAACCAGCGTCCTCCATCTAAAACCTATATGAATCAATGGAATGGACTCACGAATTCCGCCACGAGCTTCGCTGACCCTATCATAAATGGGTGTGATGAGCTTCAAGAATCAATCAACAGACGCCAAATCTGAGTCTCACCTTTGATGGAGAGCTTGTGCACCTTGGATTTATCTTTCGTTGCTGACATTTTCAGCGTATTTTGATCAAACTCGGGGTTGTAGATGGGATGTTTGCTCGTTCGTGGGGTCTCTTGACTGGTCAAAAAAGAGGCAGCATTTGTTTACCTCGATAGTCACCGCAGCAATCCGCTGTTCCACCGCCCGTGGCTCAGCACTTTTTCTCCGCAGCGATTCGGTGCCGCCATTTTTTTTCCTCGGAATCGGCAGACGACAGCTCAAATCCTCATCCAAAAAGGCATTCCATTCCCATGCCATTGCAGTACTCCAGATGCGAGGATGCCTGCAGTTAGCCAAATGGCTGAGCGCTGCACCGAAAGGCACAGCTGCAAGCCTGGTCAGGGCGCCATTTGTCCTTGCTAACACTCCCCGATTTTTCGCCAGCTCCGCTTCTCGCGGTGGTTCGAGATCACCCGCTACGAAACCGGTATCCGACCTCGAGAACAGAATAGCAGCGATTCCAATCGAGCGATACCGGAACTTTTGCATCGTCGCCCATGTTGACCATGGCAAAAGCACACTTTCCGACCGCCTGCTCGAACTCACAGGAACGATTGAGCCCGGCTCGAACAAACAAGTGTTGGACAAGCTTGATGTGGAGCGGGAACGTGGCATCACCGTGAAGGCGCAAACTTGTTCGATGATATACAATCACAATAGTGAAGACTATTTATTGCACCTAGTCGATACTCCGGGCCATGTGGACTTCCGTGCAGAGGTATCGCGCAGTTATGCTAGTTGCGGAGGTGCATTGCTCCTGGTCGATGCCAGTCAAGGAATTCAGGCACAGACTGTCGCAAACTTTTACCTCGCTTTTGCGCAGGGCTTGGAATTGATTCCAGTCATCAACAAGGTAGATTTGCCGTCCGCTGAACCAGAGCGGGCTCTTGAGCAGATGAAGAATTCCTTCGAGCTCGACACCGAGAACGCAGTGATGGTTTCAGCCAAGACAGGACTCAATGTTGAGAAATTACTTCCGACAGTTATTGAGAAGATACCAGCGTATGGCTATTTCCCTGTCTATCTTCATAAGCTCCTTCCCCTACTGACTCTCAACAGCCCCATCGGCGATTGCAAGAAGCCCCTGCGAATGTTACTCGTCGACTCCTGGTACGATTCCTACAAAGGCGTAATCTGTCTGGTCCGTATTTTCGACGGTGAAATTCGAGCGGGTCAGCAGGTCGTGTCGTTTGCGACAGGTCTTAAGTACTACGTTGGCGAGGTTGGCATCATGTATCCAAACGAAACACCACAGAGCGTGCTCCGTGCCGGCCAAGTCGGATACATCTATTTCAATCCTGGTATGAAACGAAGCAAAGAAGCAAAGATTGGTGACACATTTACAAGGGTCGGGTTCGAGAAAGCCGTTGAGCCGCTTCCGGGCTTTGAAGAGCCCAAGTCAATGGTTTTTGTGGCGGCTTACCCAGTGGATGCAGACCACTTTGAGCACTTGGAAGACAGTATCAACCAGCTCGTGCTCAACGACAGGAGTATCACCGTCCAGAAGGAGTCGTCAGAGGCTCTTGGCGCAGGCTTCAGACTGGGATTTCTAGGCACACTGCACTGTTCTGTCTTTGAGGATCGCTTACGTCAGGAGCACGGTGCTAGCATCATCATCACGCCTCCATCAGTACCTGTCAAGATCATTTGGAAGGACGGAAAAGAAGAGATCATTACCAGCCCTGTCAAATTCCCGGAAGACGAAGAACTGCGCTCCAAGGTGGCTGAGATTCAAGAGCCCTACGTCCTGGCTACATTGGCCTTCCCCGAGGAGTACCTTGGCAAGGTCATTGAACTTTGTGAGGCAAACCGAGGTGAGCAGAAGAGTTTAGAGTATTTCACAGCGACGCAGGTTATACTTAAGTATGAACTGCCTCTTGCTCAACTGGTCGATGACTTTTTCGGCAAGCTCAAGGGGTCCACTAAAGGCTACGCAAGCCTGGATTATGAGGAATCCGCTTGGCAGCCGGGGAACATCGTCAAGCTACAACTCTTGGTTAATAAGGCGCCTGTCGATGCTGTTGCTCGCGTCGTCCACTTGAGTCAAGTGGAAAGGCTCGGACGACAATGGGTGACAAAATTCAAAGAGCATGTCGATCGACAACTGTTCGAGGTCGTGATCCAGGCCGCTGTCGGTAAAAAGATCATCGCCCGAGAAACTGTCAAACCCTATCGAAAAGATGTCTTGGCCAAGCTCCATGCTAGTGATGTCAGTCGGCGCCGGAAACTGCTGGAGAAGCAGAAAGAAGGACGAAAGAGACTCCGGGCTGTTGGAAACGTGGTGATTGAGCATAAGGCGTTCCAGGCTTTCCTCGCCAAATAAACGACTTGAAATGCTTCCGCATCTGTAAAATAGTATCGTCTTATTTATGTTGTATATCTATTTATATTTATCGTTCAAATATATACCCCTATCTATATCTACTGCACATTTACAGTATCAGCAAACTATCAATATCTCCATGATGGATGAAGTTCTGGGTGTTGATTGGTCGGAATCTTGAGGGGCCGGAGCTGGAGCTCCTGGCCGCAAAAAAAGTTCGTCGCCGACCCCGCGGCCGCAATGATCTGAACAATTTCTCCTCCAACGGTCGCCTTTTCTCTTCAGCTTCTTTTTGACAAGATTCACTATCGCAGCGGCTTCGCTCGTCTTTATCACAGAGCTCTTACTATTCTGGAGCATATTATACCAACCGAATTTACACAGCGTTGCCGTCTGCAACTCAGTTTAGTCATCTCTGGCTCATTGCCATGAACAGCTCTTGACAACGGCAATGCAGCCTCCAGAAGGTGTGCAGGTCGACCTGGGCAAGGCCCAGGTCATAGACCGCGTTCCCAAAGTTATAAAAGAATTAAAATTCGGTGTACTGTATGAATGCTCTTGTTCCGCTTTCAGAGACTTGCTGTCATAGTGCTAGATGATTGTGACTAATTTTTGATCCGCTAAAACAGGTCCAACGACGACATAGTCAGTCAAGCTGTAGTGGAGGTCTCCGATCGGAAATTCTTCGATCTCGAACATGACAGAGCGGTGGTTCCACACGGTCCTCTCGATGGGCGCATGGGTATCTCAAGCAAGACCGCGACTTGCCAAACATGCGGGGGCTCCCTTCAGGTCTGCAACGGTCATTTCGGCCACGTGAGACTCGTCCTACCTGCTTTTCATGTCGGATACTTTAAACGTGTTATCAGTATTCTGCAGGAGATTTGCAAGGAGTGTTCGCGCATTCTGTTGCCCGAGGCAGAGCGACGTGCTTTTCTCCGCGAGATGCGTCGGCCGGGGTTGGATAACCTTCGACGGTTACAGATTGCGAAACGCATCAATGAACGCTGCCGGAAGACGCGGACATGCGAGGCATGCGGTGCTGTCAATGGTGTGGTCAAAAAAGCTGGTAACAGTGCCCTCAAGATCACACACGATAAATTTCGTGCGTTCAACGTGTCAACATCAATGAAAAAGGTTCCACCGCCCAGCAAGATTGTCTTCGACCGTTCCTTCGATGAAGCTAGGACTTCCAACGCAGAGGTAGAGAAGCACTACAAGAAGGCTCAGGATGATATGAATGCCCTCCGCGTTCTCAATCTGTTCAAGAAGGTCTCCGATACCGACTGTGAATTGCTTGGACTGAACCCGAAGGAAGCCAGACCTGAAATGTTCCTCTGGCAATTTATTCCTGCACCCCCAGTGTGTATCCGTCCCTCCGTTGGCCAAGACGCTGCTTCCACCGAGGATGACTTGACAGCCAAGCTGGGAGATATTGTCCAGAGTAACATCAACCTGAAGAATGCCCTTATGAAAGGAGCACCCGTTCAAACTATTGTTGAGTGCTGGGACTACATGCAACTCCAGATTGCTGTTTACATCAACAGTGATGTCCCTGGTCTCAACAAAGCAGATCTAGGCAAGCCTATTCGAGGTTTCGTACAGCGTTTGAAGGGAAAGCAAGGACGCTTTCGTGGTAATCTTTCTGGAAAACGAGTTGATTTCTCCGGTAGAACTGTCATTTCGCCTGATCCCAATCTACGAGTTGATGAAGTCGCCGTCCCAGAATTAGTGGCGAAGAACATGACCTATCCCGAAGTTGTCACCCGCTACAACAAGGAGAAACTACAGCAAAGGGTTCGAAACGGAACAAAGAAATGGCCAGGAGCGAACTATATTATCAAGAAAGGTTCGGATTTCAAGCTTTTCTTGAAATATGGTAATCTCAACATGATTGCCGATCAGATCCAAGAAGGAGACGTGATCGAGCGTCACATTGAGGATGGCGATATCGTTCTTTTCAATCGACAACCCTCGCTTCACAAGCTCAGTATTCTCTCTCACTTCGCCAAAGTTCGCCCGCATCGGACGTTCCGGCTCAACGAGTGTGTTTGCAACCCGTACAATGCTGATTTCGACGGCGACGAGATGAATCTTCATGTGCCCCAGACGGAAGAGGCGAGAGCCGAAGCCATGGAACTGATGGGTGTGAAGAATAACTTGGCCACTCCGAAGAACGGAGAACCCATCATCTCTGCCATTCAGGATTTCATCAGTGCTGCCTATATCCTAAGTAGTAAGGATAATTTCTTCGACCGTCGGTCCTTTACGCAAATTTGTCTCTATATGCTGGGGCCGGAAACCCGATTTGATCTTCCTCCACCTGCTGTCCTCAAGCCCCAGATGCTGTGGACCGGAAAGCAGGTCTTCAACATCCTCATGCGTCCCAGCAAGGACGACCCCGTCCTGGTTAACCTTGACGCTGCTTGCAGAGAATTCAAACCGCCAAAGGATGGTCGGCCAAAAGACCTGGATCCAAACGATGGCTGGCTTGTCATCCGTAACTCCGAAGTCATGTGCGGTGTGATGGACAAGGCGACAATTGGTTCCGGAAAGAAGGACAATGTGTTTTACATTATGCTCAGAGATTTCGGTCCCGCTGCCGCCGCCGAGGGTATGAACCGCTTGTCTAAGCTGTCTGCGCGTTGGTTCACAAACATGGGATTTTCTATCGGTATCACAGATGTC